TTCTTAGTGATGTCTACCGATCCCGACCGCTGACTGCGCACAGAGGAACACGCCATTTTACACGCTCGCCGGAGGCCCTCTAGCACCCGACACGAGGTTGTGGTCCGACGGACACCTGACGGGACCGAACCCCCACCCCCACGCCCTGGAAGCAACTCTGTTCAAACACCCCACATCCTGGGAGATAAGCAAGTATCCTGAGCTTATCAGAGGTCAGATAAAACCTCACCTCCACTGAGCCACCGGGGAGAACCCCCGACCCCACCAGAGCCAAATCCACCAACCGCCACCGCTGCGGTTGAAAGAGGAGTCAAGGACGAGGATGGTGAGTCATGTGACTTCTCAGTGGACGTTCCAACAGTGGCAACATTAGCAGACATGGAAAAAACCTTGTCCTAAAACGGGAGCGTCTCCAGGACATTCCTGACCAGTGATCACAGAAGTGTTACAGTTTCAGTTCAATCATCTCGGCGACAACAACATTGTTGCTTCTGTGACTCCTCATCAGTGAAAGACATGAACATTTCCCCCAGACCCCAGAGGGAGAAAGTCTCTCCAGTTGCTGCTCCACTGAAGCTGAGCTTCAACAGGGTTTAATACACTTCACGGCTGCAGGAAGTGTCAACTTAGTCAACTTGACGTGAATTATTGGCGAAATGTGACCTCTGTTTTTAGCCTACAACCAAAGTGAGCGGGGGGGGCGGGGGTCAGCTGGTGGACTCAAACCTGAAACATTTTGGGACCCATGTCCACGCCCTTAACCACCAAGTCACCACTGCACCAATGACGTGGTCAACTTTAGTCCATGACGTGTCAATAAAAAAAAGGCAGATTTGACCTTTAATTTGTTTTTGAAGTTTAAAGGAAATTCAGCTTCACTACAGTCTTATATATGAGTTGTATAGAGTATATATTTTACAACATATTATATATTGAAATATACTGTATATAAATTAAAATATATATATACATATACGTAAATATATACACATATATACATACATACTGTACATATGTACATATATACACACATACATATATGTATATACTGTATATACATATATATGTATATATGTATATATATATATATTTCTATATGTTTTGATGCATTTTGGTGTAAATACAGGTTTGGCGCGGTGGCTGCGGCGGCGGTCCGTTCCTACAGCGAGGTCATGTTTTCAGAGTGGATATCTGACTTTTTTTAACAACCACTCTCTGAGATCCAACTGTCTGGAAACTAGGCGAGTGCTGACACCCAGCTTCCTGACAATCTCCTCCCAGCCCTGGACCTGGACCTGCCCAGGCCCAGCAGGCATCTCCGTCTGACAGCTCCTCAGCCACACACTGACAGGACAACACGGCACTCATAATTGGTTCCCTTTTATTTCCCGGGGATAATCCTCACCCGGGCTGAGCTTTTATTTCTGTTAGTGTCATTTCTTTTTTCCACCAATGTTTACACAAGGTATGGATCGCTTTCTCCTCCTCCTCCTCCTCCTCCACCTCCACCTCCCGGCTGGGGCGTCTGAACGTTGAGCCCCCCCCTGGTCTTGCGGAGCTGCAGGTGACAAAGGCCCGGTGAATGTCTGACTCACAGACGGCTGTCAGTGCTCAATGGGCTGGATTAGGAGAGAACACGGCAGCGAGCGCCGCCTGACATGTTGACATCTTCTACTTAGTGCATTTCAAGGTGGATTTAACCTGTTTGCACCATTGTGGAGGGACAGAAGAAACACACACACAGGGGGGCAGCACCACTCCTCAGACACCGGAGTGAACCTTAGTCCGGCTGTCTGCTTCGGGACAGACAGCAGATTGACTCCGGCTGAGTGAGGCTGAGTGAGGCCGACGCTGCCGCCACCGCTGCTGCGGCCCTTCAGGAGGTTCAGGGGTTTCAGAGAGAGCTCCTTAACCAAACAAACACCGTGGAATTTCTGCCATTGTTGGAGCTGAGGGCAGAGTGGAAACGCCGCATAGCAGAGCTGCCTGTCAACTGAAACGACGGGACGGGGGGGGGGGGGGGCGCGTCCCCCGCGTCCCTCAGAGACAATGTTTAAAATTAAGACCTGAAATTAAAAAACCTGGGATTTAAAAAAAAAAAAGAAGTTTGAACCACTCAGAGACATGAAGCTAAATCTGTAGAAAAAATAAACAAAATCAAAAGCTTTTTTTCTATTATTGAAAAATATATATTTATAACCTGCAACTCTTTTTTAAAAATATATTAAAACAAATAAAAAGAGCAGTTTTTAACAGTTGTGGTCGTTTTTTTTTTTTTTTTTTTTTAATTAAAAACAAAAAATACAACTCACTCCCTTACACACCACTGCAGACTGTAGTCCAGCACGATGACGTCACAGTCCAAGGTCAGCAGTGCCTCCTGTGAACTGTAATTAAATTCAATCACTGAGCCTGGAAGCACAGGGGAAAAAAAAATTGGCACAAAAGCGAGTCCTCACTTTAAGATTAAATGAATTAAAATTATAGATACTTGACATCTATCTATGATGTTATATTAACAATATAAGGAAATACATGATTCGCCAATGACCAAGAAAACATTTATATATATATAACATATATAGACATACAAACATATATAATACATATATGTATATATAAATGCAAATATATGTATGTACAAATACTTAGAAATATATGTACGCAAATATATTTTTATAGTTACATACATATATTTGTACATATATACATACAAATATGCATGTAAATATATTTTATATTTAAATACATAAATTTGTATGTACATACAAATACAAATATATGTACACAAATATATTTTATATTTACATACATATATTTGTATGTATATATACATACAAATATGCATGTAAATATATTTTATATTTAAATACATATATGTATGTACATACAAATACATATGAAAATATATTTTATGTGTATGTAAAATATATTTACATACATATATTTTTATGTATGCATATACATACATATATTTGTATGTATATACAAACAAATATATGTATGCAAATATATTTTATTTTTACATATATATTTGTATGTATGTGTGTGTGTGTGTGTGTGTTGAAAACATCAAACCAACTACTCAAGTTCTCCTGTGACGAAGGTGAAACTGAAAGAAAACCTAAATAAAGGAGAGGACGGAGCTGAATATTAAAGGTGCATTTCCAGAAAAAAAAAAAAAAGAAGAAAAGACACAAAGACTGGACCTGTTTTATTGGAGGTCAAATATGAGACTGAAGACAGGGGTCAGGGGTCAGAATGGTTTTAATGTTGACTCCATATAAATAATAAAGTTCCACAGGTTGTTATAAAAAAAAAAACAACAACAAAATATATATATAAATATATTTCTGCCATGACATTTGTTACGTTTGACGACCAGGTGACATCAGACCTGCACTCCCTGCTTTTAGGTTTTAATGCAGGTCATCATACGCTGGCCAATCAGAACACTGGACCCTGAGTGATTGACACAGAGCCATATGAGAGAGAGAGAGAAGACATGAGGACAAAGGAGACACAGGAGAGGACAGAGGAGACAGACCTAGTGTTCACCACGAAGACTCACACCTGAACCACTAAGTCCAACTTTGTTTTAGGAAATACTGAGACAAAGGTGAGGTGAGGGGGGAGGAGAGGGGAGGGAGGGTAAAAACAAACAACACACTTCCACTACTGGCCTTAATGACTTCCCCCCCCGTGTTGCCCAGTGCCCCC